TGAGCAACTTCATTTGGAGGAGATCAAAGGCCAAGTATTAAAAGGTACCTAGATACCTAAGGAGGCCCACAGATATCTAATGAGATTTAGGAATTCAAATACCTTGAAAAAAGCTGGTCATAAGTTTTTTGCACCACAGAAGCAGTCAACAGTCTATTAAACAAATATTCTCACGCAAACTGTTTCAGTTTAATTAATTCAGGTGCAATCATGACTCTTTTAGCCTTTCTCTAATTCAAGAGCAAGGGGATTTGCAATGGCTGAAATTGAACTAATAATTAGTCAGCTTTTTCAAGTGCATAATCTGCTAATGGCATATATTATGAAAAACACATGATAAACAATTATATTCATTACTGAGAAGGAAGACTTTCAATCCAATTTGTACACAAATGTGTGTATGGGTAATATTAAATATCAGAATAATCCTTGAAAATGTTCTTCACACTAAAAGATTTACATCTCTGCAGCTTTCTTCTGCTACTAGTTAAGCAAATAAGGGAGCAAAAATATTTTAACAGTTCTATGAATTGAAAGAAACTAAACAAGGGAAAAAAATCCCAAATTTGAAAATAGCAAAAACCAGCCACAGTAAGTAATGGAAGAAAAGCCACAAAGGCTATTCCCATAAAATATGTCACAGAGACTAACCCAAACCACAGAGCTGGGGTGGCTCACAGCATTTAAGAAATCAAAACTTCACTGGTTCCCATAATTTAATGATGTTGCATGCACAGCTGAGCAGTAATTAAGAAAGACTTGGAAATCTTTGTTTCATTCTCATCAGACAATGGTTATTCATTGAAATAGTTGTGAGCTCTTAAAGAACAGACTAAAATTTCTGGGTGAAACTTCAGAGAAAAAAAGTCTTTCTAGGCCACCTCCCTGATAATTACTGAGCTTTAAAAGCTCATGACATATGAAGGCACTAACAAATAAACAGAACAGGACTTGGATTTGGGGTTTTGCTGTCCATTTTAGGTTCATTTTCAACAGCAGCCCTCACAGGTCTGTGCTGTGCATTGGTACTTGGAAAGGGGTGTATAACACACCAGAGATTGGTGACTGCTGAGCAGGGCAGGCACAGCATCAGCACTGTCTCTCAACATTTCCCCCCTCATCAAGGAGCTGAGGGTGGGCAAGATCCTGGGAGGCCAAGTCACAAAAAAAAAATCAAATCCCAAACCATGCACCCCAGACAAGGTCAAACCACCACACTATCCCAGCTGAAAACCACGAAAATCAGATTGTTAAATTTCTGACTGTGCTTTTCCATCTAATATTTTTTCCTGTTGCTTTTTTTAATGTACATAAACCCCCGACCCATTAAACAAAAGTCAATTTATCTACTGACACTCAGTTACAGATTTTGTGAGCAACCAATAAGCAACAGAATTCAAAACCCTCAGTGACTAGGTGAGGATTGAGCTGGAAATGATTAGTCTAGGTGAGTGGACTCAACACTTTACCTAGGCACAGGGAAGGGAAAGAGAAAAACAAAGAGGAATGAGTGAAGAATCTACTCTCCGAAGTTACAGACATCTGTAAAACCATGACAAGGCATGAACTGATTGATAGCATCTAAAGCACCTGTAAGAAAGCAAGAGGTCACCCTTATGGAGTGGTGGCCCAAGATGGCAATTAAAATATTACTGGTTCTGATTTCACTGCTTATCCACAGAGCTGCGGATGGGTGCCTCTGCTTGCCAGTGCCTAAGCAAAGAACAGCAACTATTTAGGGTGAATCAAAGAGTTAGAAGATTAGTGGGCAGATGCACAGCCTGATGGAACATTCCAAGCCATTTCTGCTGAAGCAGAAAGCACAATGCCAAACCACTGCTCTACCCCAACACTCTCACTCCAAACAATGAGAGCTGTCATTTACAGCAGCAGCTCAAGAAGGCTGATATTATTGCCTTCCTCCCTAAGCAAGACCAGCTAAAACTAAGCCATACCTGCTCTAGTTATTTTTACTTTGCAAATTCAGACTTTCTTTTGCCACTTGAAGGCTACTAAAAGTAATGGCATATAGTAGTGAGGATTCACTATGCCTCTGCTTACACACAGGAAGCCACTGCTATTGTGAGGGTGCCAAATATTGGGACAAAGCCCAGAGATGCTTTGATAACTCCATCCTTGGAGACATTCAAGACTGGACTGGAGAAGCCCCTGAGCAATCTGCTCGAATCTATTTTCAACAGCAGATTGAACTGGAGACTCCAGGAATCCTTCCTCACTTAAATCACTTTATGATATGAACAGGAAGAGCACACACTCACAAATGTCTATGCCACTTCCTTGTGTGGTACTTCAGGTAAACATGATGCTATTGTTTTGTCTGGAAGGGAAACTTTTGAGTGTGATGGACAAAACAAATCACTTTGAGGAAAAGGCTCTATTTAGCACTTTGAAGTTTATGTAATTACACTCAGGTATCTACCCACAACCATTTTTTCCACCATGTTTGAAACAATGTGGCATAAGAAATTCCTGTTGATGAATCTATTCTTCACATCCAGGTATGATTGACTGCATGCCAGGATGTTGCTAACCACAGTATTTTACCAGTAGAGGCACAGAATTGACTTGTCCTGGCAAGAACAGTATAAATAAATCTTGCTGAAAAGCCAGTGGGATGTCTCTAGACAGTACATGGCTCAGGATCTAACAGCCTACAAGTCACTGCCCTCCTCACTCTCATGGAACACAAATTTATAAGAGCATTTGGAAGGAGATTAGTGAAACCTTCTAAAGGAATGCAGTTTTTGATCATTTGCATCCTGGACCCCAAATTTCTGACAAACGTGTAGGCTACATGTACCCCTAATTGGGTAGGCTACATGTAAGACTGAAATCAGAATAAAAATAAAATTCACTCCTCTCTGTGAGCTTACTGTATAACTGTGCTATTGTCTTTCCCAGCATTTATTATTCATACTAATTCTGATTTTGATAGAAGAATTACATGATTTGTTGGCTAAACATGCAGGTTTACCACACATCTAAGTGATGATATACAAATAGGTACAGGTAGTACTGAATCTTAGAGATCAACTATTACCTAGAAGAGAGCAATAGAAGTTGGCACTTCTGTGGGGGGTGGGAAGGGCATCAGTCTTTCAGACTATGCCTAAAAATCTGCAGCCTTCCTGGATGTCTCGGTAAGACCTGCTTGCACTGGGAAAGTGAGCTGGGAGGCTGACACACTCTTACAAAAAATTCTGGTTTATTCAGGCATTAAAATGATGTAGACAACAAAAATCCATGTCAAAATTGTCTCAAGAAAAGCCGCGGGTCTATTATCATTAAAAGAATGTTTTTCTTTTACACAATACAGCTAAACAAGAGTACAAGCTCCATGTGTACAGCCTGTGCTGTAGGATTGTCAACTTTGCAGTCTTCATAAAGGCTTAACTTGGATGACAATTCCAATGTTACTATTCTGGAATTTCCTAAATCACTTTTAAATTCTATAAAGGCAAAAAAATAGAAAAGGGGGAGGAAGGAACACCACCAAAAAAGACTAAATATGAGATCAGAGTCCTCCAAGCTACATTATTGTGAACAGAATTCACACTGTTATTTTTTCTTGGTTACCATTAAAATTACACTGCAAACAACCCAGCTGTGTGCTATTTATAACCATCAAATCATTATAAAGACATTTATGCTACAGGCAGCAGCAGTGACATTTTTCCCCCTTCTTTTTCAAGCCAATTAAGCAAGAAGAACATTATAATAACATTTTGCTTTTTTTCCCATTCTCCTTGGTGTTATAGGATAGCTTATTTCTATTGATCAAGACCACAAGAATTCTGTCAAAAGGAACACTGCACTGTAAATATCCTAAATACCAAAATCTTTATTTTGAGCTTCCAATTTAATAAATGCATATATTTAATATTATTTCTCTTGCTGAGAGGACTTTTCCTCATCCAGCATATTTGGCCTAATAGCTGTGGGAAGAAAATCGAAGTGATTCCTGTGTGGGGAAGCTGAGTGAGAAGCAACAAAAGGCGAGAAAACAGACAACCAAAGCTTTGCAGCATTTTCCATGATGCGCTGTCCTGTTCATAATACAAACTTATGTGGAAGCACTGCAAAGGAAAATCTAAACAAAAGCACTTCCTGCTCTTGGCACACAGCATGGAGAGCAAATTTACACTCAGCTTAGTGAAATTTAGTATTGCCATTATGGACAGAGCAGAAATCTGTGCTATGAAACCCTGCATGACAAAAAGTCTGCCAGTCTGAAATAAACAGTTATGCCTGGAACACCGCAGTGTGCCACAGTCAGCAGTATGGGAATTCACCACAGAGCTGGCTATGATGACACCTAGATATTGATCTTGTGGGTAGGACTCATCACCCTTAAATTTAATAGTCAAAAAAGTTAAGTATCTCCCCTAAGCCAGCTGTCTAGACTCTCTTGACAATAAATGAGGAAGGACAGGTATCTCCTGAAGACAATTTATCCTAATCTAAGAAAGGTGTTTCAGGCAGAATGAATCAATGGTTGGAACTGTCTGTTTCTCTCCACTGAACTTAAGATGGAAATCAGAAGACTAACTTAGTCTAGACACTTAACTTTTAGATGACTGAGAGTCAGGGAGATGAATCCAACCCTATCTCTCTATTTGCCACATCACCAGGCACTACCTTATGTGAATAAAGTATAGTTCTAAGTGTTTCTTGGACTTTGAACTTGCTTTAAATCCCATACAATGTTAGGAACAATAAATTTCTTCAAAATCAGTCTACTTTCCAATGCCCAATGAGCACCGGCTTCCAGTGTCCAAGGCCAATCACTGATCTTCCATTTCCTGTAAGCACTGGCTGACTTGACTACAGCAGTAAAACAAACCAGCACAAGTTCTCAATTATCCCATTCGATTAAGAATTTCGCCACAAATCTCACCCATCAGTCACTCAACAAAGAATATATTTCATATATATACAAAAAAACGAGCAACAAGGGGGAAAATGGCACTGACACTTACTTGTCCCAGCGTGCACTCCATGCCACCGAGGAAATCTGCTTCCTTCAGCCCATTGTGATTGCTGCTGATGTCATGGACTTCAAACCGCAATCGCTGCACCTCTTCAAAATAGAAGTCCACCGTGAACAGCTTGGAGAAGACGGGATTTATACAGGTTCGGATCACTTCTGTCCTGTCAACCTGTCACATCGAAAAGAGGTCACGTGAGTGGCTTCTCTTCCTACCAGTGATGGACAGCCATGAATTCCTCAAACACATTTTGCTTGTTTATCAGGACTGACAGCTGATGGAGAGTCCTGTTGGTACTGTCAGCAGCAGCTGCCCTTTCTGTGCTGGGCTGACCACGAGCACAAGACCACCTTCCCTTGCCTCTCCCTTCCAGCAAGTCTTTAGCAGAATAACTGGGAAATAAACTATAGAATAACTACAGAATTTACATCTCCAGCAGTACCCATCCATCACTACAAAACAGCAGCAGAGTGATACCGTTTCATCAAACTAAATGGGAAAGAGTATAACACCGCCAGTAATTACTCATTTCAGATAATTTGCATGATTAGAGAGTGGAGAACTGGATCCAAAGCAACAGCTTTTCTTAAAAAATACGTAAATTTTTCCATCCTTCTAAGCTGCATCACAATAATCTGATGGGTTATACACTGTTTATTCCTACCTCTGAGTGCTAAAACTTCTAAAGAAACATCATTAAATCTATATTGCTATTTCTTAAAAAAATAGTGCTCAAAGATTACTTTCTAGTTCTCTTAAGATGTAGTACTTGGGCTATCTATTTTTTAAATAGGAGTTTGTTATTTTTCATTATGATGCATCGTTGGTGACAACATAAGCAATGAAGCAATTTCCTTTTTTCCACTCTCTTTGCTCCAGCACAGAAAAAAACTTAATAATTCTGTAAGATTAAAGGAACTGATCCTGAAATGAAGTAGGACTTGGTCACATCAGTGACTAGATAGGAGGTGGCTGGTGTGCCATGGAACAGACAAATTAAATTGCTCAGAGGAAGAGTGATGAGATCCTTTGTCTGATTCCTGATCAGGAACATCTGTTGTGCAAAAAATGACAGCCGCTTGCTTCGCTTTTCAGAGTTTATAATGCATTAGCCTTTCTAGTAGTTATCAGCAAGGACACAAAGAGTCAAGCAAATCAAAAGCAGGTTAAGAAATGAACAGTTCCTGGTAGAACAGATTTATTTTAGTGCTCATCAAAGGTGTCAGATTGACAGCTCTGACAGCCGAAATCCTTTAGCTAATCATCAAACAGATGCTACCACTCTTGGAATAGATGCAAACCAGTGTTACCATTGCTGCCTCCTCACACAGCTGTGTCAATGTGCTCTGACTATGCCAGGATGAGACCATCACACAGAAAAAAGAAAGCAACCTTACTTACATATTCATTCTTAATAAATTTGCACAGACTACCTGAAAATGATGGGTTTGACATCAGTCATGCAGAGAATAATAAGAATAATATAAGGTGAGAAAGGATTCCAGCCACCTTCATTCAGAGACTAGTCTATCTCAAAATTTTTTTGTTATCTCCACTAGCAATCGGTATGACTCCAAATCACTATTATTGCTACAAGGAGAAATATTTCTTACGTCAGATAATGATGATAATGATAATGATTAGTTCACTGAGACATTTCTGAGACATCTTCTAAGTGAAAAGTGATCTGATTCAATTCAGAACAGTGGTCATCGAATGAACTAGTCCTTCAGCAGAGCCAATAATAAAAATATTTAAATTCCATTCTCCTAAACTCATTCCTTGTATAAAAACTGTTAATTCAATAGCATAATTTTAATTGTTTCAGTGGTCCAGCAGATATCAGGCAGCAACTGAAGTTTCTGTTACCGTTTCACCTCTTCTCTTCCTTTCTGCTGGAAAGGGTTCTCCACTGTGAAATACATCAAGATTTACACTTGCACTCAACAGAGGTTAAATATGTGGCTGCTCAAGGGAGTAAAGTGCCTGAAAATGGAGGCATAGGTCTTCACACAGGGACATTAAGAATTTCAGTCTCACACAGAGATAAGACATTGTTTGCTTTTTCCAGCCTGTGATTGACTGACATCCTTCCCTTGACAGACACTGTACTGAAATATAGCCATTTCACTGAATTTCCCCAGCCTTCCCACATTATTGAGATGATACATCAAGCCAGCATGTCAGAGCATGGGATTACATGAGAAAAATCTGTATCAAAAGAAGCAATGCCAACAGCTCAACAAGGAATAAAAAATTCTTTGTGTCTCCCTCAGCCATCAGCTATAGAATTAACCCCTATTAGTCCACCTTGCCCCCAGTCTGCTTTGTCAGCATATTTCACAGTTACCCCATCCTTGGCTAGATAGTCGGGAAGTGCCCTCAGCATGGGAAGCTCAGCTGCATTCCCTGGCTTTGATTACTGTGCAGCAGGACTGAGCACTGAGGACCAGCTGGAGTGACTCATGATAAAGAAGCAGCGGCAAACAGAACAGCTCAAAAAATTCCTCAGCTCTCATGGAACATCCTGGTTAGGAGATGCTGCATAAACAAAAGGTATAATGTCCATTTGATTCCTGCCACTTTTTAAAGGCTGTTCTTTCTTCAGTATTCTTGCTCTCATAGTCAATCATAAAGCCTTAACACTCTCTTTAGAAATGCTGGATGAGTGTGAAACCTTAATGAAAACTGGTGAAAATACTATTGCCAAGTGCAGTTTCATGCTGATAACCATCAAAAAGTTAATAATCTATGGGGCTGCAGACACTTACAAAAACAAAACAAAACAAGACAAAAACCCCTGACCTGGTTTTGACTACCAAGTTACCCTAATACCTGCAGGACCTGTTTAATTTCAATCAAAATATCACCATATCAAAATATCATCCTCCATGTTGACCCAAAATACAGGTTCATAGAAGTCTGACAAGATGTCATCCTCAAGCCATGTGCCCTTAAGCCTGTTGTCACCCAAAATCACTTTCACTTATACGGATGATGAAGGCTCAAATACTTAATTCCACAGTTTAGCTTTGTTCAGCCTCATTAACTGAACACTCAGGAAGTTACAATTTCTCAGCATAAATGTTTTCCAAAAGATAATGAAGAACACTAAATCTCCATTACTTTTGGGGAAGTCAGCTTTAAAGTCCAAAACCAGTATGTTATAAGTGAGTGGAACTTACACTTTTGGTTTTGTTACAGAAAACCCTAATCCTGACAAGAGGCAGATTTTTCAACAGGACATGGACAGGGGTCATGCCCACAACTTCAGGATTTGCTGATGCCTGACATATGAGCCATCTGTTATTCTGGGACTTTGCTAGAACAAGAAATTTCTCCAACTCACTGAAGCAGAACAAATTTTCAAAAGAAACAATTGACAGCTACATGCACCTTTGGGCTGTGTCAAGAGGTAAAACTGACCTTAAAAAGAGCAGCGTTCATCTGACACCACGATCTGAACATCTGCTTCATGGTGCAGCTTCATCTGCACTTTCCCTTCAAGGACAATTTAAACAGAGAAAAGGACTTGCATCTTCACCTCCTGGGATGGACTCACACTGCTTTCCCTCTTCATCTCTTTAGGTCCTTGTCACTTCACAGAAGGTGGCATCCTGCTGAGTAGCTAGGATTACTTGGCAGGCCCATCTGGATGCAGCCACCCTGTGAGCTTCCCCTTGGGGAACTATGAATGACATACAAACACCAAAGTTGGCATCCACAGTACAAAGTGCTATCTCATCTGCAGGAATTAAAATCTAGGAAAGAAAACGGGCCTTCTGAATCCTCCTGTCAAACTTGTAGGGAGTTGGAAGCTGAGTTTGAAAGCTGTTTTCTCTCTGTACTGTGGACAGTTGTCAGAAATGTTTGCCTGTTTCCCTACCATCACTGCTGAAGAATTGCAAAACTTTGCAGTCAGACAGCATCAAATTAAAGAAGGCACAAAGGACAGATGAACAAATACTAAAATTCAGGCTTTTTATGCTGTTCATAACTTTTGTCTGTGATTTGCTGAAAAGCAGTGAGTTTTGTAGAACTGTGATAAATACAGTATCTTCTCTGAGGAAGCAGTCTTTGTCCTAGAAAGAAAAATCACTGACAAAGAAGTAATTCAATGGTTGAAGTATCGACCAAGGATCTCCACTTTCCGCCATTAGTAGAGAAGTGAAGCCAAGGGAAAAGATCTAGCCCAAGGGGGATTTTTTTACCTTCTTCTGTCAAAACTAGATGACATTTAAGCTATTGCATAAACAAGGATGAAGATACATCCTACAAAGATTACATAAAAGCTTAGTGTCACCTGGTATCTAGAGCTTTCAAGTGATCATAAAAACAACTTTCTCATTATGTCCCTGGGATTCAGGAAAATGGGGAATTGTCTACAGGACCCAAAGCTCTGCACCTCAAGGCCATGCTTGAGTATTTAGCACAGATCAGTGACGTGGAGAATTCCATGTCCCACATAGATAATTGGTACCTATCTGCTCCCCACTGTATTTCTAGCAGACATGCAAATAGGACAAAAGAAACACATCTTCACCAGTTGTTTCTCAGCATCTTTGAGGTGAAGAGCAGCCTAGGGCCATGAAGAACTCACTGTGTTCTCACCAAAAGGACAGTTTTGGGGGAAACTTTTAATCAGGCTCATGAAATGGTATAGCTGCCTCAAAAATTAAGGAAGATCTTTGTTCTACAAAACGATGGTCTGAAAATTTATACAGGCATTGCAGTTCCTTCAGTGTTTGCTGTAAAAACCTAGTTGAAGAGCCATAAACATTAAAATTCCATTAAATAGAGAATGTGTGTACCACCAGAATGTATTTTTCATGGTTGTTACATTTTCAGCAATTTCTTAGTCCAACGAATTGACCCATTGCTCCTTATACATTTTAGAGGCCAACAAGGGAAAACCAACAGGCTCTATTTTCTGTAGAAGTCATTATAAAATGCTGATTAAACCTAGTAAAATCACATTTGTCAGCTGAGATGACAAAAAGTACAGAGGTGAAGGGGTAGCATTATTTTTAGGTCATCTGAATCTTAACAAGTCTGAAAATTTCCATGATACAGTACCTTAGATGAAAATTTGATACCAAGCAGAAAGCAATTTACACTTTGCTTGCTGGTTTCTGAGAAAGTTATTAATATATTTTTTTATTATTCACAGT